CTAATAAGTTCGATAATAAAAAAAAAAAAAAGTAAACTTATATATACTGACGCTCTATACGCTATCACGGTTGGATACATGACACATATGTAAAACCTGAGTTTCAAATTCAAATTCAGATTATGTGTAATGCATCTAATAGTGAAAGTGTACACACTGTCGATATATAGAAGATTAATTCTAAAAAAAGGTTTTTACAATCAGGTAAAGTTATTTCAACTGTATCATGAATTCGTCCTTCAACCAATCATCTCCAATTCTGGCTTTATCTTTGATTGATCTGGAGGAATAGTAGTCTACCTGCTGCTGCATCCCAGTATCAAATTCAATTAGTATTATTTTGGCGGTTGTCCGTTTGGATGAGCAGCAGGCAGTTGAACCGACTTCATTCTTACGTTGGTTGCTCGTATAAAAATACTTGAAGTTGTTCACTATAACTCCATCCCTCCCCCAGCATTGTATTTCTTCTCTGAAACACCCAAAGTATTTTATTCAAGTCTAAGGAGTAGTACTCTATTAATCAAAGCAAAATCGATATTAGTGATCTATTTGCCCCAGCATTATTATTATTTTTTAATATAGAGAAACGTGGCAGTTGCTTTCTGGGGCCAGCTTCTCTATGGAAGTTCAGATTAGTTAGCCTAATCTCGACGTTATAGTTTAATCACTCTCTGAGTAATCTTTGTTGTTGGTGCTAAGTGGAGCGCACCTGACGCCACAGATGTGGCCCAAAATTAGTTCGACTTAATGTTCATGGGTCATGCCTTGCCAGGATGGACCAACCTATTGGTTAGGCATAGGCGTGCAATTATAAAATTCTACGATGTGTTTTTTACATGAATGATGTATTTCTTTCTATAAAAGTTAATAAATTTGTCAATATAACAATTAGATTTACATGAAGCAAAGTTACCATGTATGGATAAAAAACTGATTCGAATTTATTAAAAGAGATAGAAATTGTTAGAAGAGAGAAAAATTATAAGTAAATTGATTGGACGAGAATTGGTCGCACAAAATGGAATGGATTGATTCGCTAATTCTCTTTAATTAGATATATCACCTAGGTGAGAATTGAAATAAAATTTTTGGCCTTTCGAGGGTGGTCCCACTTAGGGCTTGACTCGAACTCGGTCAAATCGAGTTCGAGCAACTCGATAAGGCTATCGAGTAGAGTTCAAGCATCCAGAAGCGATGCTCGAAAGCTCGACGAGCCTTATCGAGCATTTTAATTTTAATTATTTAATATATTATTATTATAAAATTACCCTTATACTCAAAAGAATTGTCGAATTTACGAAATGTTTCAAGTCATATAAAAATTTTAAAAGGGCAATAATGTCTTTTGGCTAAAAAATTATCAAGAAAATAAATTTTAATAAATCGAACTCGACAAGGCTCGCATGGACTCGAGTCCATGCGAGTCGAGCTCGAGTACTGCGAGCAAGTTTCGAGCTCGAGTACTGCGAGCAAGTTTCGAGCTCGAGTTCCAATAATACTACTCGCTCGAACTCGAGCTCGAGCACCTTATCTGTATGTCGAGTCGAGCTCAAGTATGGCGATACTCGAACTCGACTCGACTCGATTACAACCCTAGTCCCGCTCCTCAAATGCCCTCTCAATCTCCAATCTGCCAGCCACGGCTCCAACTGTAAGGCCTGATGCAACCCAATGAGTACAAACAATATCACAATGATTCACAAAGATATATCAAATTTAAGCACAATAAAGAAAACTTAATTAAAGAGAAAAGATAAGAAATGCAAACCAAATATGAATCCAATAGTTTCTTCAATAGATGGCGATGCTAACCAAGATGTACAAGTGAAGGCTCACTCCTTCCTCACCCAAAACACACTTTGGTTGAGCCAAGGAGTTTTACAACAATTCTAGTTAACCCTCAACAACCTACACTTGAAAGATCACTCACCCAATTAAGAACTATTTTATACAAATGAGGCAACCTTCACCAAGGTTTTACCACTTCAAGTGATAGGTTCACCTTCACCAAGGTTTTACTCCTCCTAGAGAATAACCTTCACTTGAGCAACCTCACAACTCAACTTTCCCAACCCCTTATACAACCAACAAAGAATCTTTCTACTCAAAAATCTCACTTGTAAGCTTGTATTTTGTGTTGGCAAAAGTCTCTTGTCTTCTTGTGCTTTGGGGTCTTTATAGAAGGTGAGAAATGGCTCCAAAAGGCTCTCCAACGGTCAAATATTAAATGCTGTCAAAAAACGTCCGACAGGTGCCTGTCGGACGTCCGAACCACCTGTCGGACGTCCGAACCCTGCGTCCGAACGTAGGCAGAGAGTCATCAAATCTTTGCGAAATTTCTCGGACGTCCGATGCGATCGATGTGCGTCCGAGGCGTGCGTCCGATCCTTCCGGACGTCCGATGCTTCCTCACGAGCGTCCGACAGAGTTTCCTTCTTGATGTTCTTCATCCTTTAGGACGTCCGATAGCATCCTTTAGGACGTCCGATAGCATCCTTTCGGACGTCCCACATGAGTGCCCTGTTTTTGCTTTTTCTTTTGTGCCACAAGAATTTGTTCTAACAAATTGCTCACATAAAAACATTAGCCCAAATTTACATTTTGGTTTGTTAATCATCAAAATCAAGGATTGATCGACCAAGGTCAACACCAACCAATTGAAACGATAGTCCTGTTCCCTTTCCTTAATTGCCGCCCATATTTGAACCAAGGGTGGGAATACATATGATTTAATTTGGACCGGGCTGGAGCAGAAAAATGAGGGCTTGTGGTTGGGTTGAACTTGAGCTGGACTCAGGCAGGCAAGCCCAATTGACAAGCTAGACAACCAATCAAAGAAGCCCATGTTTGAAGTGCTCCAATATGTAGAAATTAAGCTGCGAACGTGGTTGAATTTCCAAAGGCCAAACTTATCTGTTACATAAAATTTGAAATGAAAAAATAGACCTCTTCCTTCAGTGAGGGGTTCCTCCAACCTGTTGTGGAGAGGCGTTTCACAGCCAATAATTTGATAAAAAAATTTGTTTATTTATTTATTTTTGTAACAAGATCAACATTGAATTACTGTCCAAACTTTTATTTGATAAGTGGGTTTTGGCTGAATAGTCTATATCTCGTCAAAATATCCAAAGTTTTAGATTATTTTCTAATATAAGTTAGTTAAGCATATTTAATACGTAATTAACAATATAAAAGATATTAATTATATGCTATTAATACGCCTTTAAGGTCACATATTTGTTTGTAAGCATAAATTATAGCTTATAACATTATTGACTAATACATTAATATGTAATATGATATATTAGTACGCATGAAATATATAAAATATTTTTATTAATCTATGAAATTCAGTAATTCGATCCATAATCGAGAATTCAAGAATTGAATTTCAATATTCATTTCCAAACCGTTATACGAAAATTTAAAATGGAATTTTATTCAATTTTCCCAAATTCCATTTTACCGATTTCCAATTCAATCTAAATTGTATTGGCTGGTTATTCGGTTTTCCCAAGTGTGAACACCCCTATTGCATGCCTACACTACATTCAATTTTAATATTTTATACTTCGAGAAAAAAGAAAAAATGGAAAATGGATAGCTTTTTATAACTTTTTTAGGGTAAAACCTTCTACTTTTTATATATATTTTTTGTTGATACGATAGTTTCCTATAGAGAGGAGGAGGGTCTGAAGAGATCCTGAAATAATTGGAAGAGTACTGAATCACCACTGGACCAGACAGGTGTACCACGCATCCGTCTGAATTTTTTAAGTAAGACCACATTTAATTATGACAAATTAACCTTCTACATTAACCCCACGGTCCTGGGGTAAAACCTTCTACGTTAACCGCCAAAACGGTCTTTTTATAACTTTTTTATGGTAAAACCTTCTACATTAACCGCAACCTGAGGCCCTGTTTGGAACCTTGGTTTTTAGCCAAGTTTGTTTCCTATTAGTTTTTTAACAATTTTTGCTACAGGAATTTCAAAAACTTCCAAAAACTCACGGCTCCCTTGTTACACTTAAAGAGGACGACGTCGTTTTTCACTTTCCCTTTCAGTACCAAACCCACACTTGCACTTCGGTAAAACAGACTCTTCACTGTGCATTTTGAAATCACAGAAACCTTGCCCTGTACAATAAATTGCACCCCAAACTCAGCTGAGCAATTTGACGAAATGTGGAGCCGATCGGAGCAATTGGACGAGGCGGCAAACAACTGGAGCTGGTGTTAACCCATTCATTGTTCTGTGTGTGGTCCAAGCTGAAGGTACCGACGGACTTGGAAGGAGCAACCAGCTGAGGAAAGTGCGACTTGCTGTGTCTGTCTCTCCACCACGCTCGGCCTCTAACATCATGGCTGGAACGAAGAGTGTTTAAGGAAGCCTGCTGTGCTTCCATTTAGGTTGATTTCCTAAATCCCGTAGCTTTGAATGGAGGTTGACTTGTGATTGAATTTTTTTTTTCGCCCGTAAATTCCAGTCAACACAGCATTTTATATTGGTTGATTACCTCCTACAATATGGCGTACTAGTCTCTTGGATTAATTTGAATTTTGGTATTAAATATGTTAATTTCTTGAGGGGGGAGAGGCAGAGGGGGGCGGGGGGAGGGGGAAGGCAGGGCAGAGGGGGCGGCGGGAGGTGGAGTTGCTGCTGGGGGTGGCGGAGGTAACGGGGAAGAAGAAGAAGAAGAAAAAAAAGAGAGGAAAGAAAAGAAAAAGGAAAGAAAGAAAAAGAAAAAGAAAGGGAAAGAGAAAAAAAAAGGAAAAAAAAAAAATTTCACCTTACAAAAGCTTCTACAAAATTTTTTACCTTACAAAACTTCTACAAAATTTTTTCAAAAACTTCTACAATATACTACAGTAAAATTTTAGATAAATTCTCAAAAAACTCAGGTTTCAAACAGGCTCCCTAGGATGGGCAACGTTCGCAGCTTCTGGAAGCTTCCATGACACAACTGCTTCTTATAAACTCCACATCCTAAGTTGGTTGCTTGGTGGGATACATCTATAGTTGTCCCGTCTCTGCATTGAACGTCAGCCCTTTTTCTGTGATTCTTCCTTCCTTCCTTTCTGTCTATCTTTCCTGGGTGGCTTCTTCTTCAACTCAATCTTCTCTCTCAGGTACTTAATTGTCCCTTTGTTCTTCTTTGGTGGCAATCTTTTTCAATTTTCTACGCTCGGATGGACGGTGAACGCTCACTAATTAATTGGTTGCTTTTTCGGAAATTTGTTTTTGCCAATTGTGGATTTCAAGCCAATTGCATAGAGCTAATTTCTTGTTAGATCTTTGCGGTTCAGCAAAGAATCGAGAATGGCTCATATCCTTCCGATATGTTTCTCTTCTATGATTTTAATCTTTTCTTCAAATAGAACTTTTTTTTTTGATATTTCTTGAGTAAATTTAGGTAATATTTTTCTAACATTGGGTCAATCCCTTCTATTATGTTACAAGTTAAAGGATTGGGCAAGTTCCTGTTTGATGTGCTCCTTGACATTTGTAGCTAACGCGGTAACCAGAGAGAGCGAGATCCCGAAAGAGCTCAAGCCAGGGCTGCCCACAAGGCTAAGCAGCCCAAAAATGATGGCCTGACCCCCGAACAAAGACGAGAGAGGTGGGTTCAATTCAATCACCAATGCCTTTGTTTCCCGACTTTCTTTCGAAAAGGATTCAATTCAGATGCCGTCGTTATATTAGCCTTGAACTTTCCGGTGCATTGGCATTTTTTTGGGCAGGGATGCGAAAGCACTTCAGGAAAAGTTAGCTAGGAAAACAGCTGGGAACCACGATAACTCTGTTGGTAACAAAGCCGGTATCAAGAAGAAATAGCAGCAGATTAGTGTTTAAATGTAGGTGATGAATGTTGTAATAGATGATGGATCAGATTTGGGTTCCGGGGGCTTTATTCAAGTCGCATGTTTCATGTCATTTTGATGGTTGAAGATTGTCCTCCAATAGGAGTAGGATCAAATCTGACAGCCATTTGAAGTATTCCCGAACTATCAAAAAAAGTATTCATATTTACTTCAGATGATCCTCCTCTGAGTACTCGTCGGCAATTCTGTAATCCGTGCGTGCAATCATGTCTCTCCATTAAGGTCACATATAGGACCATGATCAAAGCTTATTCACTTGGTGGAATGTCTAGCCATGCCAAAGAAATCCAGAATGTTCTTGCATCATTAGAGAAGATTTCATAGATATGAAGAAGCCGGAACTTCTAGACTACTTGGGAATGTGCTGTTTTGAGCAGCATGAATTTTTTTCTTTCTGATTGAGCATGGCAATTGTATAGATTTGGTTTATGTGATCCATGCTGCTCTCTGACTATCGTGCTCGGCAGTCCTTGTGTAAAGTATGTTTCTTGACTACCTAATGTAAACTTGTTTATTTAGCAATTATAGCTAGTTGGAGTGTATAAACTAGTGGTCAATTGATATCGTGCTATTAGTTTGCTTCATTTCCTTCTCATTGTCTGGTCTTTTTTGAACAACTACTTACCAGCTCGGACAGCCCCACTAACGGGGGGAAAAAAAGTGGTTTTTTTCTTGTTACAATTACGTGGAGAGGATAATTCCCTAAAAGGACTATAGACGACTCTTGTATGGCATAAATCAAGAACTAAGTCAATGCACAGATGACAAATAAACCATTTCTTGATCATAGAAAAATTATGAAAATAGGTTTCAGAAACATTTCAATGTTCTTCCAACTTGTAAATTTAGTTGAATCAGTTACTAACTTCACATGATTCTTATAAGTTGATTGCTGAATTTTATGCTAACCCTAGTAATGCAAGGATAATCAGTTGTGTGCCAACATTTTTTTTTTTTTTTGTTTCAAAGTATATTCTAACATACTTTAAATTAAAACTACTAAGATACGGTGAAAGAAATGAAAACTAGTAACCTTAAAATATGGAGAAAAAAAAAGGTAAGATAGTAATCTAAGAAATTGTTTTTGAAAAAAGGGAACTACATGCACTTGTGGGGAATTATATATATATATATATAATTCTTTTTTACTTCATAGTACAAAATTTCAATTCCTTGGTGTTATACCATCTTTTATTTTTTAATTTTTTATATCATGTGATTTCGTTTTTTTTCTAATAAGATGTTTCATATTCCGATCAAAAGTATAACATTATTTTAGAATCATTATGTATGGGAATTAATGTTATTTTGTCAAAATTTTGGATGAAAAAACCATCATAATGTTTGACTAGTCAATGCAGGGGGTAAAGTATATATATTTAAAGTTTAGGGGGCAAAGTGTTACAAAGGTCAAGTTCAGGGGGGTAAGTGTAATTAACCCAAAAAAAAACAAGGGTAAGAAAGAAAATGACAGACGTATAAGGATTGGGCAAAAGGCCCAAATGGACTAAAATAGCAGAAGGCCTCCCTTCCCTTCGTCGTCTGCATGTCCAGCCCACTACTCCGCAGAGGACGAATAGTTTACAATCTTAGAGAGAGAAACTATTTACATTTTAGAGAGAGAAACTTAGGCAACGAAGGAGCACGAAGACGAACGTACAATTTTTTTTTTTTTAAAAATGTCTGGAAAATCACACACACTCACGCACTGACATATACATGTTTATGTTTGCATAAGCTTCTCTATTTCTGTATCGATATATAATCATATACACACTCTTGGGAATGGAATTTTATTGCTTCCATTTCTAGGGCAAAATTGAGGTACCTACAAAACCCTAGAATCCGGAGGGAGTGTCCAGGAGGATCAATTTTCTACCCTACCTTGCAATTCTCGGGACCTATACACAATCCAGGTATTGTTTATCTATTCTTAGCTTCTGAAAGCCTAGAATTTGGACTCTGTTTGTCTTTCGAGGAAACCCTAGAATGGTTATATGTGTTTCGGAATCAATTTTTAGGGCTTTTTGGGGGGGGGGGAATGAATGTGGAATTGTGAATTTGGGAGTTCTGTTGCTGCATTTTGGTTGAATTGTTCATTCTTTTAGCATTTTGAGGGTAATCATTGATGAAGCTTGTATAATTAGCTGTTGGCTATTTTTTTTTTTGGTATGTTAATGTGTATCTATTCTTTTGCTTCAAGCTTAGTAGTTTGGGATATTGACGATCCTTTTAGTTGATCTGTTGAAGTTGCTCTGGGTTGAGATGGGAATGCTTATTGCTGCTAATATGCAGGGTGCTGGTTTATCTCAGCAAAGTGTTGTAGGGTCTGGATATTTGGATACTTAGTCCTGCCATGCACCTATGGATGTTAAGCATTGGTTCAAGGCTGGAAAAAGTTTAGCACGGATACCATTTTGACTCAGATCAATTTTAGTCAATGGATGTAGAATGTAGTTCGTGTTTAACAAAATTCATGACTCCGTATTAGCAAATACTATCAATGCAACCGCGCATGTGAACCAATTAAGTAAATCACTTATTGTGACTTCTTCTAATATTCATATTTATCTTCCTTTTGGCACGTTCATCTTTTTCCCTTGTGGCTGAAACTCTGTTAAAGCTTTCACATATTGAGTTCTTGGGTTGGTGCATGCATGTCTCTCCCCCTGCCTTCCGTCTTAGCAGCATGAGAATGATGTTGTGGTTTTATTCCTTTATATGTCATATTAATGATTCTACTTATTCCTTTTCTTCTGTTTTATTGTTTTTCCTTTTGGAGGGTTAAGTCATTTGACATTCCCAACCTTTGACAGTATCGGGAATTTTTGCCTTAATAGATGTTGATCACTCATCTTTCTATCGATGTGGTTAATGTTCTGGATCATTATTATGCTGGCCATGTAATAACACTAATTGCTTGTTCAAAATGTAGTTTTTACGTCTATTGACATGTAACAAGCACTTTTGTGTCAACTAGACATTTGTAATAGCTGAAATACCAAGCTTAAATGAGCGTATTAGCATATAGACTGCATTTGGGGTTTGAACAGTGGGCAGGGATACTTGCTTGTGCCTTTTCTACTCAGAACAGCTATATCAGCTATATTTATTTTTCTGTTTTCTAACAACTGTTTTCTTTGTAAAAGGGGAAACAAGTTGCTTATTATATGAATTGAGTTCTTTAAGTTGTTAGAGGAATAGCAGCAATCATCTGAAAGGGTTTTGGAATGGTTTTAGTCTTGTTTTTTGGCCTAGGGAAGTGGAGGATGGAGGGTCTGTCATTACTATCAGGAATTTATTGATGTTTTCATGATTTTTCCTTCGTAGCATGCTAATAACGTTGGTCTAAAATGTTATGCGATTCTAATGTATACGCTTCTGATATTCTTTATGTGAAAAATATTTATCCTTTTCATATCATTTTTATGTGCCCTGTTCTTGTCTAAATAACGGTGTTACCTTTGCTGTGTATAACGTCCTACATTCTCTGTTTATGTTCAGTTTATGCACCTCAGATTTCCTTTAATTTTTTTGCTTTTAGGGGGTGTTATTCATGTGTTGAATATATGGAAGAGGGATACCTGTAGCTATTTAGATAGGAATGCATGGATGCAGTTCGGCATCTGCTTTAATAGTCCATGCTGAGGTTGATTCGATGGGAGGCGTTGTTGAAGGCGGAGTTGATGTTGGTGTTGGGACCAAGACTTCTCCGCGACGTATAGCCATTGAGAAGGTTCAAGCGGAGCTCAGGTAACATCAGTGGCCGCTTGCTAATGATGATATATAGGCCTGACCAATAATGATTGTTGCATTTCCACAATTATTGTATCCTTTCATGATCAATTGATTGTTAATAACAGGCAGGAGTATGATGTTCGAGAGGAAAGGAGGAGGGAGTTGGAATTTCTTGAGAAAGTATGGCAACTGGATTTTTCTTCTTTGCTTCTATGAGTTTTCAGTATGGTTATTTTAAATGATTATTGACCATTATATGCAGGGCGGCAATCCTTTAGATTTCAACTGTGGTAAAGCAGCTTCAGTTAGTGTCCAGTCCACTTCTCAGACCGATCAACAGCCTGAACTCTTTGTGACCAGGTATCTTTGCTGGTTGTTTACTGTGTATGAATTGGCCTAACTGTTGTAGTTTAATAGTGATTAATTCGTTGTGGTTTTCAGCGAAGCCAAAGGCAGTTTTGCATTTACTGCTTCGCCTCATGGAGATTCAGTTGAAAGCAGTGGGAGGCCCAGAGCTCATTCCACTTGTGAACCCAATAGTGCTGATAATCTCATGTTATTTGACGGTGAAAATGATTTTATTGAAGGTGATAGGGTCGCTGCACAGCCCAATAGGACTAATGTTGTCTCAACGGAGCATTTGTCCCAGCGAGATGGAAATTCAAATGCAAAAGAATTAGGGGATTCTGCTGCTTTTAGTCTCCCAAGGAAAGCATATAAACGTCGAACTCGGCCAAGCCGTGATGGTGCTCGATCAAGTTCTACTGATGCAGTTCTTGCTCGTGGCTCTCATGGATCTTCTCTGCCTTTACGCCATGGTTTGAGAGAGACCAAAGTATTGGTATCTGATTCAGAAAACCAGAAGGAAGAAAAGGTTTCTGCAAACAGTGATTCAAAGCCTACTAGTTCAAATGGTGTTAAGGTTTGCAAGAGTGCACCCTCTGAAGGTCAGGTGGATATGGAGTTGGACTGTGTAAAGGCAGTAGAATCAGTTACCAACCTGATTAAGGGTGACGCACTGGATGCTGTTGTCAGTTCTAATGCTTCGGAAAACATTCAGAATGACCAAGTTAATCAACAATCAGTCTTGGATGCTCAAAAATCAGTTTCAAAAGTTGCTTTTGAGGAAACTGGATCTTTCAAGGGAAAAGAAGAGGCAGTTGATATGGGGCTTGAATGTCAGCCTCATGTGCCGGTAATGCAACCTGAGAATCAATCTAGTTCTGGTCAAGTGAATGGATTCAGCAGCATCAAGGGAGATGACAAAAGAAATGATGATCACAACAACAGTGCTTCATTGGGTACAAAAGTTTTAGATTCAGAGTCATCTTGCACCCAAACTAGCCTTAGTTTAGATGGGAATAATGATACTGAAATGTGTACTAATGTAACGATTATTGATTCTAATGGCATTGTTAAAGAGCAAACATCTGTGGTGGAAGGGAAACCAATAATAGACGGCGGTCAACTGGTAGAAGAAAAGACAGAGATTAAAGCAGATGATAGTTTTACTTTCGTAAATGATGAATGTAATTCTGCTCAGCAATGCCACAAGGAGAATGGATATATAGAGAAAGCACAGGAAGAAATAACTGAAGGTATATCTGATTTACAAAATGAGGAGAAAAATCGAAGTGGAAATGAAGTTAGGGATCATATAGTTGAGAGCACAGAAGCAGATGGCTGTACTGGTTTGGGTTCAGGAACAGAGAAGAGAATAATTGTTCTGTTTGGTGTTAACTCAGATCCCAAGAATGAAAATGGTTGCTCTGTAATACCTCAGGGTTCTGCTGATTCCTCCATACCAAAAGTACCTGAGGCTGCTTCACCAGGTAGGGTTTCAATTGCTGCTTCAGAGGGACATACATCTTCTGATGTCAATTTCACGGCAACCAAGGCTGATGAAGACTCAATCTTGGAAGAGGCTAGGATTATAGAGGTTATTTTGGTTATTTATACTCTTACTTATGCCAGCATTGTGTTCAGCTGCAATAATACTCTTGTACTTCTGACTGCATTACTTGGCCATAAAAAGCTAACAAAATCTTGTAAACAGGCTAAGCGTAATAGGATTTCTGAGTTATCTATGACAAACTTGCCAATGGAGAATCGTAGAAAAACTCAGTGGGATTTTGTATTGGAGGAAATGTCATGGTTGGCCAATGATTTTGCTCAGGTTTGATTTGCTTTTATTGTTGCCTTTCTTCCCCCCAGCACCATGTTCTTTAGGAGAATAATATAGAATATGCATGGGAGTCAGTTTCCTTGTGTACTTAATTGCCCTGTCATTTTCAGCTGGTGGATCAATATGTATTGACATATATACCTTTTCAATATAGGAGCGCATTTGGAAGAAAGCTGCTGCTGCGCAATTATGTCACCAAGTTGCGTATATGTCCCGGTTAAGATTTCATGAACAGAATAATAGTTGGGAGCTTAAGAAAGTAGCCCACATCTTAGCAAGAGCTGTCACAGAGTTCTGGCAATCTGTACAGGTAGATCAGATTTTCTTTTTGATGTTTGGGGGTTGGGCATTGTCTGGAAGTAATCGCTGTGGTAGAAATAAGATTTTGGAGATGAGTTGACTATAAACAGTATCAGAGATTTTGGGCTTATCTAAATACCTTGTTAGTAATTATCTGATTGAGCTTTTCAGATATACTTTAACTTTTAATGTTGGTTAAATTATGTGTGGCATATTTTTGATGCATGTTTATTTCATCAATTAATGAGTTTGTGGCTATGATCCCTGCCTTTCTCTTATTTTCTTACTAAACCACTGTGATTATATTGTGGTCTTCCTGTTTAGCGATTTAGTTATTCATTAGCTTTTCAATAGTCTTTATCTGGATTGTGATTTGTGACTTAGTTGAGGACTAGGTTGTGAACATTTTTAAGTGTACTAGTAGTCAGATAAGGTGCACAGTGTAGTCATGGTGCTTATGTAGTAGCTTTTATTTTATCGTCCAGAGCAGTAGCTCTCTGAGAGTTTGATTGTTTTACTCTTCATCTTCTGAAAAGAAAGGAAAAGAAAAGCTACCCAAGGAATAGGAGAAATAGGAGTAGATTGCTGGGGAAATGTTGATTAGAGACAGGCTCACAGGGCTCATATACTACTTTCTTGACTCTCACTAGATTAATTCTGGTGTTACCGGATTCATGTTTGTTAATATTTCTCATTGGAAGGAAGTTGGCTGACTCAGACTTGCATGTAAATTTTGGGTCTATTATTTGGTTTAGATATCCAAACATGTTTCCTGCTCAATCATTTTCCTTTACCTCGTTTATGCACAAATGAACTTGGCCAATAGAGGTATTACTATCAGTTGGAATACTATGTTGGAGAGTTCCTCTATCTCATAATTTTATTTAAGTGGATAGAGCAAGTTAAGGAATGAGAGGTAAAAGATAAAATTGTAACAATACTTTAGGCAATTTGCTGTTACTTTGCAATTTCAAATAAACTAAGGGCATTGGAAAGGCTATACATTCTTATGTGGCTATGTTGATAAAAACTGACATCTGTTGTGTTGACGTCGAAGCTGTCTGCAATTTTTTGTCTAAATAGATGCATGTTGGGGTGCTTGAGTGTATTGACATGCCCAGTATCAGTATACCTTCTTTACTGGTTAACCAAATCCCTCTTTCTTTCCTGGATCATAAATGCGATGAAACAGGAAAATCTGGATTTTCTTGGGTGCTTATTTTGCTTTTTGGGTGCTTATTTTGCTTTGTGTGTGGTGGTGGTTCAGGAGGAAAAGAAAGTGCAGGAGCTGCAATGTTCAAGAAAAGATTGTTCACTTGCTCTACAGGAATATGCAGTGAGATTTCTGAAATATACCAGTTCTGATGTTGCTCATAGTCAAGCTGAAGCTCCCATGACTCCAGATAGGATTTCGGATGTAGGAATCACAGACATTTCGTGGGAGGACCATTTGACAGAAGTAAGGAATGACAATTTAACTTGAATAATCTGTATTCTGTTTCTTGTTAATTTTTGGATTTTACTGTCTTTATAAACTTACGTTTGTGTTGAATGGAATATATTCATATTTTCGTGATTGACATCATGATGTAGTTGCATAGCATCTAAGATGTTGTGAACTGACCTATCTAGCGATGAGGTTACTTTGAAATGAATAGGCCATGTCGCCTTCTTTTTGGTAGTAAGCATGAAATATATTATCATTTTTTTGCTTTTAGTTGTGGATTTGCTGCCACGTTTGAATTTTTACGGCTTTGCTCTCCACTGCAGGAGAATTTATTCTATACAGTTCTACCTGGGGCTACAGAAACATATAGAAGATCCATTGCATCCCATGTAGTAAAATATGAGGTAAACCTTGTTCTCACAGTATAATACTCAATGATTGACTAGCTTATTCTATTTGGCTTCGTTAAAGTGTTGACTTTTAAGGTGAACTGCTTCTCTTGTCATGCTTCAACTTTAGTGAGCTTTTGTATCTCCATCTAGTTTTCATAGTTTCATTTTTTGAGTGTATGTAATTTTTAGAATATAGTAATCTTGATGTTGTCACCTCTGTTATATTTGATCTGTTGACTTAGTAGTAGTTAATAATTTGGAACTGAAAATGATCTCAAATAGGGATGGCAAAAGGGTGGGATTGGCCCCCGCCCCCATCTTCAAACAACTCGCCTCACACCTTCCCCCACGTCGTCTTCATTTGCACACATTGGGCTAAAACTTTGATGAGTAGAAATTAGTGATGTCTTTGATGGTTGGGGGGAACAATCATCAACCTGACTAATCAGTAGAATGTGACGTTTGGGCCATAAGCCCCTTTGGGAGAACATCACTTACTTCTTTTGGGAGATTCGTCATGTTAGCAGCTACATGTGGTGATTGTAGGAAATGAATTCTGAGTAATTAACAAGTGTTTTGGTTCCTTAAAGGTTTCTTGATAAATAATGCAAGTTTCTGTGGTTGGATAGATGATATGGATCTTCTTGCTATTTGTTCTGGAATCTCTGATTTTAGGGTTAGAATATAATAATGTATTTGAAAGGTAAGGGAGATGAGAGATCATATTTTCTTGATGTGATTGTGTTAAGAGTTTGTCTGTCCTTTGAACTATTTAGTGAGGTTGTGAGTAGCAGCAGAATGAGGGAGTGATTGGGATGGGGATGGAAGAGGTGCTGATGGTGGAAAGGGGGGATGGTGGTGGTAGTAATTGGAGAAACGGGGGCTAGAGAGTCCTTTTTTATTTTTGGGGGAAGAAAATTATGTCAAGTTGTAATATTGAGAGCAGTAAAATTTGACTGGGCAGACCTGGAAAATATGTTAAATTGAAAGAAAAGATGATAGATTTTTCTAAAGCCAGAGATAGAAGTAGAGGGAAAGTCAGATATTTTCCTTTTCTATCATAGTCCACTAATTATATATCAATTAACAGAATGCATGACATTCTTTAGTTTAATTTTCAGTAAGTGACAGGCTGACTGTATTGCCTACAATTTGCAGAAAACTGGCAGTAGCATACAAGAAGAAGTGGAGACATCAGCATATGATGCCATGGCAGGTACAATGAGGATGCCTCAAATTTCCTGCTTGCCTTCTGATGGATCACAATTTTTTTACAAGGTTTGTTTCCAGATGCAGACTTTGGATCTCAGGAAAATGCATATGAAGAGGATGAAGGAGAAACAAGCACATATGATACATCAGCAGCCTTTGAAGGTAGCAAAGCATTAAGATTTGCTCAGAAGAAGTGGAAAAACTCGAACAAGGCATACAATTCAAGAACATTTGAAGTTGTAGCAGATTCACCATTTATGCAGTGCATGGAAAATAAAGCTGTGAATCAACAACCTGTGCTAATGGGAAAACGTCCTGCTGGCAGCCTTAATGTGTCATTCCCGACAAAACGTGTGCGGACTAATAACAGGCAGAGAGTTTTGAGTCCCTTTAGTGCTGGAACATCAGGATGTGTTCAGATGACAACTAAGACGGATGGATCAAGTGGTGATACCAACTCATTCCAGGATGATCAGAGTACTCTGCATGGTGGATCCCATTTGCAGAATAATATGGAGGTTGAGTCAGTGGGGGACTTTGAAAAGCAATTACCATTTGACTCCACAGAAATATCCACTAAAAATAAAAAGAAGAAGAAACCAAAGCATCTGGTAACATATTTACATTTTGTAGTGATAAAAATTAGATTGAATTTCTTGTTGGACAGATGCCTGACTTTTGTTTTAGCATTCATTATGCATTCTTAAATTAGCCTTACTCTTCCAGGGATCTGCATATGAACATAGATGGCCTCTTGACGCCAATTTTCAGAATGAGCAGGTAATTTCCTTCGGTGAATTTCTAGGCTCCCTAATGCTTTAGCTGTTGCACCAGAAATTCTCTGATGCACATTTTACCTAATGTCCATCAAAGTTAAAAACATGCTGTACAAATGTAGTTCTGCATGTTTGCTTATCAAACTTGATTAATGATGGTCATTCCTGAAGAAGTCATCAGCTAATCTAGTTTGTGCAATTCATGGTTTTTGATATATCCTGTACTATTTCAGAGAGAGCATTCCAAGAAGAGATCAGAGAGTCTTCAGCTTGAATCAAATGGTAGCAGTGGTAAATCTTGCTTTTAATCTTTTTGCTTCGGATTTAATCTTTTTTTTGGGGGGGCTTCATGTTGCTGTCTTTTTGGAAGGTTTGTTTGGACAACACATAGTGAAGAAACCAAAGATGATGAGGCCATCACTTGATAATTCTTTTGACAGTGGTGCCCCAATTGGTGGGTCTGCTCCTTCTCCAGTTGCCTCTCAAATCAGTAACCAAAATAAGTTGATGAAGATGTTTAGTAACCGGGATCGGGGTAGGAAAAACAAAGGTTTGAAGGTCTGTATATCACATAGCCTACATTGTGCTTTAAGCTTGTTATCTTGTGCTAGTTCTGGTTGAGGACAGCTATAAAGTGAATTTGTGAATTTTATGTATCATACAGACGCCTGTTAGCCAGTCTGGGTCTGGAAGTCAGTGGAGTCTATTTGAAGAACAGGTATTTCTAGATGGGCTCATGCTACACCTATATTTATTGCTTTTACTTGTTAGTACTGCTTATAGGTCAATGACACGATAACAACACTATTAATTTGTTTTTAGGCCCTTGTTGTCCTCGTACATGATTTGGGTCCTAATTGGGAGCTTGTAAGTGATGCCATAAACAGTACTTTGCAATTTAAGGTATGTACTTTCTGTTTATTCATCTTGCTCGATGGAAGTCTTTAAAAAGTTACAAGCTGTTGGATGTTTAAAAACATCTCACATTTCGATTGCTTTCTTGGTTCTTCTCTTGTTGCTGTAAATTGATACTTTTTCCCTTAAATAAACACAGTGCATATTCCGCAATCCTAAAGAATGCAAGGAGCGTCATAAGATGTTAATGGACAGGACTGGGGATGGGGCTGACAGCGCAGAGGATTCAGGGTCTTCTCAACCTTATAATTCCACACTGCCTGGCATTCCTAAAGTAAAGTGCAATTATTTGCTTATTTTATTTTTTATTTTTTGAAGAAGTTGTTCTTTCTACACTCTAAGACTGTTTATTGATTGTATGTGGTACATTCTACCAACTTATCAATTGGGTTACTGCAGAATTTTGTTGACCATTGTAATCTCATTTCATTCAGGGAAGTGCCAGACAATTATTTCAGCGTTTGCAGGGGCCAATGGAAGAGGATACCCTCAGATGTCATTTTGAAAAGATCATAATGATTGGGCAGAAGCTCCATCCTCGGAGGAAGCAGGTATACTTCATGCAGGCTTTGAACTGATTGTTTCTTTGTATCCTGGATTTTTGGTTGCTGAATATGATTAATTATGGCTCACTAGACCACCTCTTTATACATTTTGCTCTGTTTTGACTTCCAGTGGCTTCCTCAGATGGATTACACTATGGTCTTGGTTTTTGTTTTTGTTTTTATTTTTCAGAGAATTTTCATATAAAGGTCTTTTTCCCATCTAATTGACTGAAAAACATTTTCAAGTTCCTCAGCTACAAATTATCAGTTTCTTCAATTCTTGTTGCCATATTTTTTTAGTTTGCAAGGCAAATTTTGTTTTATCAATGTTTTCTGATCCAGTCATTTGCTCCATGAATCTTGGAGCATTTATGTTGTGATTCTATATAATTATTGCAGGGTGGATTAGTGATGTATTAAAGTCCTTTCTGCATGCTTGCATATCCATACGATGTTCTGGTTTTCTTCCAGATGATTTTTATGGTAGAGGTCTTTTACTTGCTTTGTTGCAATTTATTTTGATATTCTGAAACCAGAGGATGGAAAGTTTTACTTCATAAGCATAGTATTGTACTGTGTTTATTGATCTTATGAAGAATCTCTGCAATACATAAATTTCTGTAATCTCTGTTTGCTTTACTCTGTTTGATTCCATTATTACTGTGGTATATTCTTTAACTTGGTTTTTTTACCTTTACTTGATCTTCAATTGAAAGAATGATATCCAGGATCCGAAGCAACTGCAGCCACCTCACGGCTCTCATTTACTTGCTCTTTCCCAGTTTTGTCCAAATTATCCGAGTGGAGAATCTATTCCCACGTAAGAATTTTATTTTAATTTGTAAAATTTCCTTTGGTTTATTAACCGTTTGGCGCCAATACTTTTATATTTACCCCTTGAATTCTTCTGTTTTGTTACTGTTCCTGCAACTCCTGTTTTTGTGGTGAAGACCTCTCGATCTTTGTGATGCAACAACACCAAACTCTGATATTGTTCCTCTTGGGTACCAAGGCCCACACACCACCGGATTAGCTATGGCAAATCAGGGCTCCATGGCCCCAATGCTTAACACTTGTGCTGCTAATTCATCGGGGCCAGGGTCCTCCAATATGATTATTGGCAATAACTTTTCGTCCTCGCCAGGTCCAATCAATGCTTCTGTTAGGTATCATCCTGTCTTTTGCTTGAATGGTCTTTTCCCACTATGGTTATCCTATATAATTGGGTGCTCAATGGTAGGGATGCAAGATATGCTGTTCCTAGGTCAGCATCTTTGTCAGCTGAGGAACAGCAGAGAATGCAACAGTATAATCAGATGTTTTCTGGTAGAAACATTCCGCAGCCAAATTTGTCATCTCCCGGAGCTCTTCCTGGAAATGATCGTGGAGTTCGCATGCTACCTGGTGGCAATGCTGGTATTAACCGAGGCATGCCAATTGCGAGGCCTGGATTTCAAGGAATTGCATCATCATCTATGCTTAACTCTGGTAATATGATCCCCTCTGGCATGGTGGCGATGCCCTGTCCTGTTAACATGCACACTGGAGTTGGTTCTGCGCAAGGGAGCTCAACAAGACCTCGCGATGCTGTACATATGATGAGGGTGAGTCATCTAAGGATTTTTCTATTTCTGCTCAGTGATCTCCTTGTCTTGGAATTTTTGGTTTGTTGGTAGTCATAATTGGGCACTGAAAATTTTGTTCTAAGAATTGTTGCAATGAATCTGCTGAACCATTTGACGGGGTCTGTCTTTTAGCATCTCATGATTATGTAGTTCTCTTGTGACCTTTTCCATTTAAGTTGCTGTCTGAACTTCTATATGATGAAAACCCTTTGAACAGTTTTTAGAGATTTCTTAAGAGTTTTTGAAAAGCTAAAGCAGAAAGAGATCAGGTCAGTTATGAGGTTCTTTTGGTTACCACAGAGTATCTATAGGACTAGATGCTATGCATTGCGTTGTAGTCATCACAGAGATGATGCCTTTGGAAGTTGTGATTATGTATTAGGTGGAAGAAGGAAAATCTAGGGAAACAGACTTGTTTACAATGTTTTTCTAAAAGTCTGGATCAAAGTGAAATGCTCTGACAGGGAGGATATATAGTGGCTTCCCAAGGTTGAAAATTCTGATGTTTCGGCCATTTGTCTTTGATGGTTGGTTGAAGTGAGCTTTTACTTGTTCTGGATGGCACAACGTGGTCAATCTACTATGTGGTTTTAGAATGCTTTTGGACATAGTAGCTCATGCATCTTGAATTTCTGTTCAAGTCAGATAATGCGTGGTTCTTTGCTTTATAGCCTAACCAGAATCAGGACTCTCAGCGGCAAATGATGGGGCCCGAGTTTCAGATGCAAGTGTCACAAGGAAATAACCAGGGAATTCCAACGTTTGGTGCATTGAGTCCCTCTTTTCCAAACCAGACAGCCTCTCCACCTGTCTCATCGTACACAGTCCATCATCAGCAGCCACATGGGATGTCTCCTCAACAGCCACATGTTATTAATCCTCATCATCCCCATCTTCCAGGAACCAATCATGCCAGCAGTCCGCAGCAACAAGCCTATGCCATGCGCTTGGCTAAAGAAAGACATCTACAGCAGCAGCGTATTATGCAGCAGCAGCAGCAACAGTTTGCATCATCTAACTCTATGATGCCTCATGTACAGCCACAGACCCAACTTCCCATCTCATCTCCACCACCAAATAATTCCCAAATTCAATCACAGACACCTTCTCCACCAGTATCACTCTCTCCCGTGACACCAGCCTCTCCCATGACGTCCTTGCCACAGCACCAGCAGAAGCATCAGCTGCTGCCTCATGCTTCAGCCCGGAATGCTCAAGCTGCAGGCAGTGGTCATACAAATCAGGTCAGCAAGCAAAGGCAGCGCCAGCCGCAGCAGCAACAGTTTCAGCAAACTGGCAGGCATCATCCTCAGCAGCGACAACAAACTCAGTCTCAACAGCAAGCCAAAGTTTCAAAAGGAGGGAGAGGGAACATGATGATGCATCAGAATATTGCGATTGAGCCACCACTACTAAATGGCATTTCTACAAATCCTGCAAACCAATCTGTTGAGAAAGGGGAACAGGCGATGCATTTATCACAAGGTCAGGCATTATATTCTGCGTCTGCAATAAACCCTGTTCAATCAAGCAAACCGTTAAATCTTTCCTCAAACCAGTCCCACCCTCAACAAAAGTTGTATCCTGGCCAATCATCTACTCTGGCAAAGCATCTCCAGCAGATACCATGTCATTCTGATACTATTAATCAAGGTCATGTTTCCCCTGTTGCTTCTGGTCCTTTGTCCACAGGTCATCAGTCAGTTCCACCACATGTCATGTCTTCTTCCAATCACCAACGATCACAGGTACAGACAAATCAAAAGTTGGTGAATCAGAATCAACCATCTGCTCAGAGAGTATTGCAACAGAATCGCCATGTAAATTCTGACCCGTCAACTAAGCTGCAGGGAAGGGAAGCCCAACCCGACCAGCTCTCTACAGCCAACTCATCTCATATGGGTGTTGCCGCAAAAATGCCCCTGACATCCACTGATGCAGCTAATATAACTCAGGTTTTCTCTCCTCCCAGTACTCCTCAGTGGAGAGCTTCAGAGCCACTGTATGATACTGGTACATCAAGTCCAGCAATAAATTTGGGTTCCATTGGGACCCCACCAACGAATTCTGCTGGTAATGAGCCTTCATCTCAAGTTGGGCAACCAGGATTAGGCCTGAGGCAATCTTCCGGTAACATGCCTCTGATCGGACAGGATGTTAGTTCACAGTGGCAGCAGCAGGGATCACAGCTGCAAGAACCTGCCTCACCTATATCCAAGCAACAGCAACATCAACATCAACATCAACATCAACATCAACTGCAATCCCAACAGCAGCTGCCACACCTGCATCACTCTCAGCAACAGACACAGCTTGTGGGGAATAGCAATAGCTTATATGTTAGACCCACCGACTCCAGACTGGAATGAATCAAATTGTGGTAAGCAATTTTCGTGGTGGGCTGGTCCTGTCCATGTTGGGTCGGCATGCCCCAAACAATTTAGTGTACAGGTAATTTGTGTTTCCTTTTCCTTCAAGTACCTGCAGTGGTTAATTGATTAGCATGTAGTGTGAATCTCTACATTTGATGATCCTATTGACTATCCTCTCCATAACCTCAGATTTAAATAACTGAAAATTACGTGAGAAACTTGAACCTAATTGTCCTTGTGGGAGTTTGGTACTCGATATGCTTCTTCATGAGATGTCGCTTTATGGTTTTAGCTTTTAGGTGTAGGACTCTTGATGGGCATCAAAGTCAAGTTTGACTTTTTCATGGGCTGCAAATGACTAATTATTGCTTGTTTTTATGTTCAGGTGAAGCTCAAGGTTCTGTACGGCATCACAAGATGACATGCGTTGGAGACTATTATTTTGATGTCTGAAGGGTACTGGCAGGGGCTAATTTTGGGTGTTTTGTATATTACTATTTACCCAAAGAGCATTGGGAACATAGAGACAGAGAGGTATATGTACAGGGATCTCATCTCTCCTTTTGGTGCCTTCTTTTTTTGTCCATTTCTTTTTCCCCTTTAATTGGTTCCCCTGCTCAAGATTGGAGGGGCTTATTTGTTTCTGCCCCCATAGGTCAGCCCTTGTATTGTTGCCCTTTCGTATTAGGGGGTAGGTATCATTGTTATGGCCAAAGGCTGTGGGAAATTTTGTGAATACTGGTCCTTCATATTTTCTTCAAACGGTCATCATGTATCACACTGCCTTAGGAGCCTGTGCTATTCTGTAAATTGTTAGCTTGCATTTAACACAACGAAAAAGATACTTAATGTGATGTTTACCTGTATACTGTCTCGTTTATATCGTTCTGGAGAAATCTAACCTTAGGCAGTAGTTCGTTGACATGTTGGGCCAGATAGCTGATTTGCAGGTTAAAAAAAAAAGACATTTTTGCATCAACTCGTCTGTAAAAGAATTGAAAAACATGGGGGAGCCCCCAGCCTAAAAAAAAAAAAGGAGGACGACAATGTGAGGAATGGAAAATGGAAAGTTGGAACATCCGGCGATGCAGTCCACGGTCGAGAGTTGAAGAAACCTTTTGAATTTGGACAGAACATAATGTAAGCATGACCACCGTCAATGTGATACCATGTCGTTTAATTTTCATCCATTAATAAGGGAGATATATTGCCGTTGCTAAAATTTGAATGGGGAATATTGCAAGATGAGAATGATAATTCAGGAGCAGAGGCATTGCATTGGAAGAAACTGCAACGAATCATTGCCCCCAAGGGCCTTTCATTTCTCTGAGAACCGATACTTGTCTGTGATGCAGCTGTAGCATGCTATTATTATTTTTTTCCTTTTATTACTTTCTTTTATGATACAAGAGACTGCCGCCGGTTTTTAATTTAGTCTTGCATATGTAGCAGATTAATTATGCATTTATTCCATCTCATGCTATTGAAGTGTAGGTTCAAATGCTTTCAGCATCAGGGTCCTGAAAGTGATGAGTCTTCCACATCTAAGGACAAACCAGAGGGACAACATAAGGCTGCTGATGATGTAATGCAAAGTTTGAAAGGCAAAGCAGCTAGTGGAGAAATCTCATTTCTGTCAAAACTAGTGGTACTCCTGGCTGTGGCTCTGGCAATTACAGTGCTATCCATTGGCTTTAGACAGCCTCATCAAAGATCTCTGCTTGGCATTCAACATTTAGTTGATAGTTCATCTGCTCCCGCTTTAAGTACACATGCTGTTGGTTTTTCTTTTAGAGCTTTTGGATACAGAATTATACTTCCAGAATATGCTCCAGGGTACTTGACTATTTTGCTCACAAATTGTGTCCTTGTTTGTTTCTGATTATCTGGCCTTGCTATGCTTTCAGATGTCATATTACGTTGAAATAACTTAATTTGCCATATCTTGGGTACCTTAATATTCTTTTTTTCCAAATCTTAACAATATAGCAGAAGCATTCTCCTTTTCTCTTACATTTTGCTTCTTGGTTACAGAGAACAGTATGTTTAATTATCTTTAGGTCCCTGGTTTCAGGTGGATCTACTTCTGGCTTCTGATGGCTGCAGGATGCGGTCTTTTCATAAGTGAAGAGGCTTTAAATATATGGGTCTGTCCTTCCTGCTGGTACTTTTTTTGGGCAGACTCTTATGCTCTTTGACATCTGGACTTTGAGTGGGTCTTCTTGTCCTTTTTTGGAGTGCTTCTCTTTTTCTGAGCTTAACTTTGTCATCTATCCTGTAGGTTGGCATCACTTTAGCGCGGATGCTTTCACTGGATGGCACATGGCATTCTTTTCTTGATTCATTCTCTAGGAACGCTCACTACATTGTATCCACGGTTTTATGGGTTTACTGGTTAGTTGGGCTTGATTCAATTTGAGCTAATGAATTATGCTATGGACCTCCTCCAGTAATGCATGTAAAGCTGCAAATTTTTTTTCCTTTTAATCTTCATGCTAGTCACAAATATTAATCGACTAAAGGATCAATAATATTTGTCCTCAATATATTAATTCACATGGTGAATATTGTCAGGGGAGTTTGCATTAGTGATATGATACCATTTTACCTTGGCAAGCTTTTCAGACAATCTGGGGCATCCGATGATGTTTCTTCAAAGGTCTGTTTGATCTATAGACTTTTGATATGCAGTAAATGTAACTAGGTATTTATATGACCTTGAAATAGTAAAGTGATATGAATAATTTCTGTTTGGTATAGTTAGGAATTGGCAGAGAGAAAGCATTGAAAATCACGCGCGTTGTCCAAAAATATGGAAATCTAGTTGGTGTTGGTGAGTCTAAATAGCTTCAGAGCTCCTTTTTGCATGTTTTCATACTTGCAATCGTACAAATGCTGCTTGAAATGACTTGTAATATGAGCTTCTACAGTCTAATCGAACCAGTTCTGTTAGATTCCACTATTTATGTGTTATAGTTCATAAACATTTAAAAGGATAGTTAATGTTACCACTTTATAAGGGGATGGCACGGGCAGCTGATAATTGAAGTGTTGATAGTGGTAGCTGAAGTAGAACATCAAACCTTCCCCAAACCAGTGGAATATTTAATGACATTCTCTGACTTGCTTGTTTTAATTAGCATTCACAGGTACCCAATGAAAGCCTATCAAGCTATAATTATGCTGACTCTTACTCAAGAAATTTAATACTGATACTAAAGTTTGCCTCCAAAAAGCTGTTTCTTTTAGAAACGTATATTAAGAAATTTTGCGATAATATATTTTACTGGTTTTAGCAATCTTTAAAATAGTGTAAAAAGTTCAAGAGAAATGGTTTCGGTTATCTGGTATTGCTTTAAAGTACCCATAATAAAAGCTTTTGCGTAATTAAGAGTTCCAAATGATTGGCTTTCCACCAGTAGTGCTGCCACCTTATTCTCAAAACCATTGTAGAGTCCCTTGGTGTTGTTTCCATTCCAGAATCAGCATTGCCTGCATTGGGGTCTGCTTCTTGAGTACTTACTAATAGTTGCTTATCAACATAACAATATCTCCTTCCTCTCTTGGGGCACCGTAGCACATTTTATTTGACATTTCTTGAATTTCTTGAGCATTTGTTGGTAAGTCTATGTTTTCTTATATGCAGTTGAACGGTTCTCGTTAGGTGTGAGGAATCCTACAGCATTTTTAGCAGGTGCAATGGTTAGTATTATTTCTTCTCCGAGCAAGATATTACTTTACTAGTACGAACTTTGACACAACTTATGTAATTGACATCTATTCTATCCAAATTCCTGTAAGCTATTATTTTGTGAACCTGGTTGATTTCATTATCATTTGTGATGTATGATTTTCTTCATCTTAAGGTGCTGACTAGGAAAAGGTTGTTACCGCATGCTATGCATACTAAGCTTTGGTGTCGGAGCAGAATGAGTTAACAGTTTGAAACAAAGCATTCCTTCTATCTTGATGCGTCATGGCAATTACGATTTCTTGCATCTTGCTGTCAAAGTAATCAAGCTGGGAAGCTTCAGTCTATCTTGCATTTGCATTTGCACTGTAAAATTTTCTGTTTTGATGTCTCTGTCTTCTCTGGATGTTGGGAACCATTAGTTTATGCAGCAAAGGCAATATGATCACCAGTGTGGTACCTCGAATTGAGAGTGCAACCACTTCATGGTTCTTCTTTTTATGTTTTTATGTAGTTAGTTTTTTTAAAGTTCCTAACTAGTTTTTAAATGTCGTAAACTTACTTGTTGCTGGAACTCAACTATTATGCGGATTTTTAGTCATCACTGCAAACTATGTGGATTTTTATGCCATAACTGCAGTGTGTTTTTCCTGAAGTACGACTTTTTTGCAGGGTATATCACCTGAGTTTTTCTTTGCCGGTGTCTGTTGTGGTGGTCTTTAACACTTCCACTTCAGGTATTATTCTATCAGATAAAAGGACACCAATACCAGCAAACTAGATTGTAGACTAGTCATGCAGGGAAAGAGTAAATAGCTGTTCCTACTTGATTGCCCAAAAAAAGAGACCTCATCTTTTATAGTAAAGTTGCCAGCTTGAAAAGGAAGGAATATAGATAATGCTGCTGTTAAGTGCAACTCAAGTTTAATGGTGAGGCTAATTGCTTCTTTCGCAAACAAGGAATATATCACACATCCTAGAGATTCATATGGTCTTGCAAAATAGTAACTGCATTTTACATTTATCAAAGCTATGAAAACACTTTGTCACGATATTTTTCTTCCATAAGCTTATGCCTTTTATTTTTTTAAATGACAGTTGGGGATTGGATTCTTATTCAGAGACCGTCCAGTGTTTGCCCTTGCCACTGTTGCAACTGTAGTGGTAAACTTTTATTTTCCCCGGATTAGCATATGGTTGCCTAAACAAAGGAATGCATTGCAAGGGTTTTAGTGCGTCTACTAATTGTAAGTACTGCGCTGTTTTGCAGGGAATCTGGACTATCATCCCATATGCTGCAGCTGCTTTGACAGCATTGTTCCTTTATCTGCGACGTAAGAACTTCAGTTAGTTGTGGTTTCTGTTTCTAAGTTCACCATTTCCTGGGGTACACAGCCTGGAAACTATCAATACGTGCTTGTAAAGGGACTAACTACTGCAGAGAAAAATCAGGGTATGGATGGTTTTGCAACAGCTTGTTGAATAACACACCGCCAGACACCCTTTTAAGTGAAGGCTTTACAGATTTGGTTAGGGAACTTGCAATCATGCACTCACCGTATAATTGCTTGAAAGCTGGCATTGTCCCTGTAACTTCCGTAAAATAGGGTACCTTATATTCAAGGGCCAAGTTGGGCATGAAAGATCTTTTTGGCATATTGTTTTTGGTCATACCTGTTGCTCTCTCAGATTGAGTCAATCAAGGCAAAATACTTATTTACGGATAATAACTTAACAAGCACTATATCATACACATACTGCACAATTCCATTTAACATAAATTATGGTCTCTCAACTAAGCTATGGACCAAGTCTATGAAAGAAGCCCAGAAGAGGCATAACCATTCCATAATAATAATAACAACAATCTAAACTAAACGATTGCTGCGAGATGGAAAGCTGGATGCCGTAGGCTTCTTTCAGCTCAGCCAGTACTTCTGCTATGCTTGGCCTCCGCAATGCATCTCTCTCAACAGACCTTGAAGCAATCAAAGCTGCCCTCCTCATGCTCTCAGCATCAAATGTTCCTTTATGCTTTCATCCACTATCTCGAACGCGCCGCTTGCAAGTATGGCTTGGCCTGCAATTGATGGTCAAAAACAACATGCTATGTACGTCAGGAGCACTCATATGCACATAGAGATTGTAACGAATCAGCAGACACAGATCAGTGTA